TCGGTACCAGGATGAGTGACCCAAGGGTCATCCTCGGTACCAGGATGAGTGACCCAAGAGTCATCCTCGGTACCAGGATGAGTGACCCAAGGGTCATCCACAGTACCAAGGTGAGTGACCCAAGGGTCATCCTTGGTACCAAGAAGAGTAACCCAAGGGTCATCTTTGGTACAAGGATGAGTGACCGAAGGGTCATTCATGTTACCAGAAAGAGTGACCCAAGAGTCATCCACAATACCAAAGTGAGTGACCCAAGGGTCATCCTCGGTACCAAGGCGAGTGACCCATAGGTTATCCTCGATACAAGGATGAGTGACCTAAGGGTCATCATCGGTACCAGGATGAGTGACCTAAGGGTCATCTTCGGTACCAGGATGAGTGACCCAAGAGTCATCCTCGGTACCAGGATGAGTGACCCAAGGGTCATCTTCGGTACCAGGATGAGTGACCCAAGGGTCATCTTCGGTACCAGGATGAGTGACCCAAGGGTCATTCACGTTACCAGGATGAGTGTCCCAAGTGTCATTCACATTACCAGGATGAGTGACCCAACAGTCATTCACATTACCAGGATGAGTGACCCAACAGTCATCCACATTACCAATATGAGTGACCCAACAGTCATCCACATTACCAGGATGAGTGATCCAAGAGTCATTCACGTTACCAGGAAGAGTGACCCAAGGGTCATCCACGTTACCAGGAAGAGTGACCCAAGAGTCATCCACGTTACCAGGAAGAGTGACCCCTCCAAGGTGATGTACAATACAACATATAGTGTAGGTTAGAAGTTTCAGGATCAATTTTTAAGTACATCACCATCACAGAGTCTTTAAGACAGAACCAACAAGCCCTATGAGACGAGATATATTCACATCAGCTCACTACTATTGGCTTTTAAATACCAAATAAATATATTTACTACAAAATTAATTTATATCTTCTAATAAATAAGCACACATGATTCAAATCAGCACAAAGAACAAAACAAGTGAATCCCTATGATTTACACATGATTAGCAATAATATTAATAGCTGTACAATTGACCGACTCATTATGATATCTCACAATATACAATAAAGAGAATAGAATAAGAAACATGTGATACAACAGTGTTTCTGGGTGCTCTCACAACCTACTGTAAAATGACTGATTTAACATTACAGGCATATTTAGTGGGTTTAAAATTCACGGTTTTATCATTTGGATAATGTGTTCCATGCGCAATTTTTCATATTCACTGGGTTTTAATTTAGCGCATTTTCCAGTCAGCGAAATAAGCAAAATTAAAATACAGTGAATAATTAACCCCTTTACAGTACTCTTTTGTTACATCATTCACAACTTTTCCCGACTAAGCCAAATAAAACAATTAAAGAAAAATGAAACATTAATGATGTGAAGGAATGTACAAAATAAATAGCTCAGAAGTAGAACTGACCTCTAACTTTTGACCTCTAACCCTCAAAAAACTGACCTCTGAACCCAAACCATCTGGTTTTGAGTACAATAGTTTTTGGTCAATATTAAAAAAAAATTAAACAAAGTATCAACGTGTCAACAAAATAGACACTTTTTCATTGTCAAAAAACTTGCTACAATATTGTTTCAATAAGTGAAATATACACAGCCTGCAGACAGGACACATTAGAATACTCAGCAGTGATTGACCTATGACCTCCAAACGAATTACATGGTAACATACTAGCAGTGATCGACCTATGACCTCCAAACAAATTACATGGTAATATACTAAGCAGTGATGACCTATGACCTCCAAACGAATTACATGGGTATATACTAAGCAGTGATTGACCTATGACCTCCAAACGAATTACATGGATATATATACTAAGCAGTGATTGACCTATGACCTCCAAACGAATTACATGGGTATATACTAAGCAGTGATTGACCGATGATAAAACACAATTACAAATTGTGATAAAATGGAGCCTAAAGCCCTTGAAGTAAAGATGAGGTGTAAAAATAAGGAAACAGCTTTCACAACTTGCAAAACATACATTATATTTTAAGTAATCAAATTCCTCAAGCATCTGACAGAAATACCGAGAGAGAAAATAAATGATGATAGTCAAGCTGATATTTCTCAGATGCCTAAGGAGTCAGCTTATATCCAAGTTGATGAGGGTCATTATTCCGGTGGATATTTTCATAATCCTAAAGGGTTTGTTCACGGTAAAAGAATATTGGTCAAGGCTTCATACAACGGGGTACAATATTTTTCATAAGCTCTTTTTGTAAAATGCAAATAATCATACATATCATTGTGATCAATAGTTCCATCCGCTTGAACAAATCCTGGATCACAGTCAAGAAAAGTGGTATTTGGAACAGACTTCAAAACAGCAGGAAGTGATTCATTGACCTTTTGGTTCTTGACTCGCAAAGGATTATGGGTTTGACCTCTTGGAGGAAGAGACTGTAAAAAAAAAGAAAATTGATTTAGCTGGGAAAAGAATCATCCTGAAATAATTTTAACCCAAAAATATTTGCATCATTTCAATTAGGATACATAAATCGCAGAGTGCATTCATTATATACTGGACCATTATAATATGTTGATGCGACCACATACAGTCTGAGTGCATACTTTGCAGTATCCTCGTAATAACCTTAATATTATACATCTTTTCCTCCCAGGAA